AAAAGTTAAGATTAAAGATAGCACAATATTTTTTAATAAATTAAAAGGTATTTAAAGGGACTTTTTGGCATAGTTATATTTCAAAAGACTATGCATTTTAGATTAAAAGTCTTGGAATCTAATTTGGATTTGATAGCAATGGTTGGCTTTTTGTAAATCCTTCAAAAGTTCAATTCCATTTATATAACAATCATCAAGGAAAAACATTCTGATAGTATATTCCATTTCTGTAGATTTTTTGTAATGAAAAAATGTTTTATAATTATCTTTTATAATTCCAACTCTATCTATATAGCAAAGTCCAACATTATATATTGCTTGAGCATTTTCTAATTCAGCAGATTTTTGATAATTAATAAATGCCTGATGTTTATTCTTTTCAACCTCTATTCCACTTCAATAATAATCTGCGAGATTATATATTACAGATCATTTTCATCTCAGAAGATTTTTGATAATAAACGAATGACTTTTGTTCATCTTTTTCAACTTCTATTCCATGTTCATAGCAGTATCCAATTTGATTTATTGCAGTAGCATTTCCTATCTCAGCAGATTTTTGATAATAAATAAATGCTTTATGTTTATCAATTTCAACCCTATTCCATTTTATAACAACTTGCGAAATTATATATTACAGAAGCTTTTTCCATCTCAGCAAATTTTTGATAATTAGCGAATTCCTTTTGTTCATCTTTTTCAACCTCTTTCCATATAGATAGCAATATACAAGATCATTTATTGCAGTGACATTTCCCTTTTCGGCAGATTTTTAATAATAAATGAATGCCCTATGTTCATTCTTTTAATTCTTCTTTCATAAAAATAGCAGTTTGCAAGCTCATATATTCCATTAAGATTTTTCATCTTAGCAGATTTTTAATAATTAACGAATGCCTTTTATTCATCTTTTTCAACTTCTATTTCATGTTCATAGCAATTTCTGAGATTATTTATTGTAGTAGTATTTTCCATCTTGGCAGATATTTGATAATAAATGAATGCCTTTTGTTCATCTTTTTCAACTTCTATTCCATGTTGATAGTAATATCAATGTCATTTATTGCAGTGGCATTTCCCTTTTCAGCAAATTTTTTGATAATGAATAAATACCATATGTTCATCCTTTTCAATTTCTCTTTCATAAAGATGTTATATTAGGCCTCTGCATAGGCCGGGTAATAGCAATGCCCTAGCCCTATCTGTTTGTGTAAGGGCTTAACTTTTGAGCCCTTACCCTTACCCTAGGGCCCAAAACCTAATACCCTAACCCCTGTCAGACCCACAGGTGCCCATGAACTACATGTGGGCCTAAATTTACCTATGCAAAATTACAAGTGCAATAATAAGACCTGCTAAGTATTGCTACCAAAATTAAATACATACGTTCAGGGCTTAAATTTAATATGATTTATATAGGATAAGCAGGGCGGGCTTTATTTTTGATTGGCCAATCACCAAATGTATCGTCACATATTACACTGCATATATCAAAGGATATGATATATAAATTCTGAAACCACACCTTTTATTCTACCTACAGTAAAAATAATCTGGAGAACAGAGAAAAATCCAGAAGTTAGCAACAGGGTACACTTTTCGTCTTATAGGTTAAGATAATTTAACAATTGGGAAGATATTCTGTGCCTTGGTTATTTAATAGGCTTTTTTTAAAAAAAAAACTTTAAAATAGCATTTCAAACAAGAATATTTAATTATTTATTATTTTTCTGAATATAGGTTATGTAACTAAGTTTTTAAAAGCTATGTACAATATATTAGATGTAGAGTATGCGTAGGATATATACGATTACATGCTATGTTCTATAGTTAACATTGGTTTTTTATACTGTTTATACCCTCCATGTGTGTATATTACCTTATTGATAGTTGATAGTTTTTTTTAATTCATTTATGTTACTCATTATTTATCTTGTTATTAAACTATTAAACTATGTATTAGTTAGTAAGCGATTTAGTTAATAAAGGTTATATATATATATATACGTATTTAAGTTTAAAAACATTATTTTATTTTTATTAAGTTTTACTATATATACATTTACAATAGCTATCAGGATAAATATATTAAAAAATCGTTATTATAAATTCAAATTTATAGTTAAAATAAATCTTTTTGTTTAATAGTTTCTAAAAATTTTTAATACCGAAATATGTGGTTACTGACTTAGCTTGTACGCATATTGGGGTTTAGAATTAATATAGTACATATATATTATCTTAATAAACAAAGCTTAGAATATCACGAGAATATAACATCTATATAACTAATGGGTACCCGTGGTAAGGTAACGGGTAATACCCTAGCCCTACCCGTTTGTGTAAGGGTTTCACGTTTAAGCCCTTACCCTTACCCTAGGGCTTAGAAATCAGTGCCCTAGCCCGGCCTTTATGGTACTACCCGTGGGTACCCATGGGCCTACCCGGCCCATGCGGAGGCCTAATATTTATCTTCATCAAATAAATAATATTTATACGGCATCTTCAGTAGAGCTTCCTCATCTGTGCCCCAGCTCTTTATTTAAATTATCATTTTCACATGTTCCGAATTTTTTCTTTGTCTCACCAGGTTTGCTCTTAACAATCTACCTGTTAAGATGTCTTTGAGCTCAATGCTCACACCTGGCCATTCTCCCCAACCATAAACATATCTAAAAATCCAAATCTACCTTCACCCCTCTCTTTATGACTATTCATTACTAGTCTCAGTTGTGGGATGTGATATTTCAGCAGAAGCAAACTTTCAACTATTCCCTGGAGAACTTCTTCATTAGCTAGAGCTAACAACATCGAAGATATTCTTGCCTCAAGCTGAATCTATATAACGAATTAAAATCACACCTTTTTTTTCAATTCCACTAAAAATTTCTTGTGAAGCTTTTCTTTGGAAACTTTGACAAACCGCTTGTTATTCTTGCCAAGCTTTTCTTCAGCAACTTTGACAAACCACTTGTTATATATATTATATATACTGCCTTATTAACACCAACCAATTATAATATTGCTTATTTTTGTGTAGCTAATTTATGAGGTGGCATCTTTTAGTATGCCACTATGGCATGCATGCCTGTGACTACTTTACTAGTTAACGGCTTATCCGAAGCCGGTTTTGGTTGTAATTGAATCGGTAAAGTCATAGCTCTAGTTTAAACCATTGTTATTGAAGCCACAACTTATGTCATGGCTAGACAATGACTTGAACAATGCTCAAGATGTGGTAGATAATACTGTACCGATAAACGTAGCTACAGTAATAATTATTTTAAAGTAATATGGTATTTAAAGAAGCTATACAAGCATTAACAGCTCTAAAAATCTTTAATAGGCTGAAAAGGGTCTACAAAACTCTCTTATTTAATCAATTGAACATTATCAATCAATACATTAATTAATTTCTTGTTTAAATTTTTATTCATATTAATTTAAAATTCTCACATAATTAATTGGTTGAAGTCAATTTCTAAATTGTGGGAAGTTTAACCGTAAGTTGGTTCATTATCTCGATGAAAAAAAAAGGTTGAAACTACCTTAGACTTGTTCTGATTGGCTAAAATTTATTATCCACATTTTGCGATATGAATCTTTAGAAAATTACAGTAAGAATCACTTCAATTAATCATAGTACTTTATGCACGATCTCGATAGCTAGTATTAGATATAATATGAATCGATATGATACTATATAGATACAAGAAAAATTATTTTGAAAAAAAAGAAAAAAAAATTTAATCGGGTAAAAACAACTTAATTCAGTTGACAGATGTCAACAGATCGAAAAGATAGCTAAGCAAGGATTAAGCCGGAAGCAATCCGGTCAAGCCCAGAAGCACAGCCACTGACCTAATCAGTCGAAGAGATAAGCTAATCCCATGTGAATTAACACATGAAGACAGATAAGTACAAATTATTAATAATTTCAATTAATTGCCTATTCGGGTAACTGTCCAATCACTAAACAATTGCCCATTGTTAAGATATGACATAAGAAGAAGCACGCACGATCCAGAAATATCTGCATCATCATCCGCAAAAATTAAGTTTCGCACTCGAACCCTCCCAACCCGTATAGAATCCTGCCATTTTGTGGCAACTTAAAGCTTCAATTCAAGGCCGGCCTGCTTTATGCAGTGTGGGAGACCACCGGCTGATGCTACGCATCGCAATTTCAGCTGATGACGGCGATACCCGGCGCAATTATGTTTGCTATTTCTGGGAGCATATCCTGTCTCAGTTTATACATCAATTGCACTGATGTATGCTACAATTTCTCAATAAAAAATTACGCAATAAAGTTTAATATCTACCATCGTTAGCTAGAGGTATCCAATTTACAATACTTATCACGTGCGTGCAATGGTTTTCGTTTATTAAAAAAACTCCTTTTTGTGCTTGTGTGTCTATCTTACTTCATGTTTATGTTTCTGCTTTTCGATAATTTTTGGTTTTTTGGTTTTTTTTTTCTCTGATTTTTTGCCGGTATGATGAATTGATAATCAGTGGTCGTCAAAGGCCATAACGAAAAATCGTAATGAATGAATTTAATCTTTTTTTCATTCTTTCGATTGTGTAGTGTAACGTGCAATATAAAAGTAGATAATGTGTTGTACATTCTCTACGTATAGTGTCGTCTGAGGTTGTTATTGTCACTGAAGAATATGTTCTAATTTGTGCTCAGCTTATGGCTTTGATATGGTAGGGATACTAAGCCCTAACATGCGTCTGTTAGGGATACTAAACCCTAACGTGCGCCTGTTTTAACCGGTTTTATTTTCCCTACAAATCATTTACCAGACGTCACACTGGCATTCTATTTGCTGCAGATATATATTGCCATTTGTGTACTGTAATGACTTGTAAAAAAAAAAAAACGACCGGGCGACGAAGTCGCCCGCACAGTAGCATTGCTAGTTGTGAATAATAATGATAGGAAACTTCTGAAATTCCAAACAACTGGAATACCTAAATTTGATCGTCACACTTTTTTGCAAATCATAATAAAAAGTTTTGAGCGTATAAATTTTTGGTAATTCAATCTAAAAGAAAATTTTCAGTTCTTTATTAGGCAAAATTTTATCGATCACTATATCTTAAAAGAAAAAAAAGATTACATAATATTAAAACCTTGAGCACTGCTATAAACTAAAATTCTTAATATAAAACTTAAAAAAATACTTAAATCAAGAATAATTTCTCTTGATTATTTTAATAATACATGCGATTTTTTCAATATGATCAAATTTTCAAATCTAATCTATTATAATAACGAATCTCTGATAATTCATTTATTCCTTCGGAAGTAATTTGATTGTGAGAAAGATCTAAAGAAGTTAAAGTGGTATTTATATAAAGAACTTCTGCAAATAACTCTCCTCCAATACCAATATTATTACTACTAAGATTTAAAGAAGTTAAAGTAGTGTTCTTGCAAAGAATCTTTGCTAGTGCTTTTCCTCCTTCGGAATTAATGTTATTATAAGAAAGATCTAAATAAGTTAATGCAGCGTTTATATAAAGCGCTTCTGCAAATGCTTTTCCACCTTCATTACCAATGTAATTGCCACCAAAATTTAATGAAGTTAAAGTAGTGTTTATATGAAGTGCTTTTGCTAATGCTTTTCCTGCTTCAATACCAATCTTATTTGAATTGAGATTTAAATAAGTTAGAGTAGTATTTACATGAAGTGCTATTGCTAATGCTTTCCCTCCTTCATTACCAATCTTATTGTAACTAAGATTTAAGGAAGTTAAAGTATTGTTTGTATGAAGTGCTTTCGCTAATGCTTTTCCTCCTTCAGTGTCAACCCTATTGTAACAAAGATTTAAAGAAGATAGAGTAGTGTTTGAATAGAGAGCTTCTGCAAATACTTTTGCCCCTTTAGTACTGATACTATTGAACCCAAGATCTAATGAAGTTAAAGTATTGTTTATATGAAGTGCTTTCGCTAATGCATTTCCTCCTTCAATACCAATATTATTGCAGGCAAGATTTAAAGAAATTAAAGTATTGTTTATATGAAGTGCATTAGCTAATGCTTTTCCTCCTTCAGTATTAATATAATTTCCTTCGAGACTTAAAAAAGTTAAAGTAGTGTTCTTGCAAATAATTTCTGCTAGTGTTTCTCCTTGCCAAGAGTTAGGCCGATTATAATATAAAGAGATAAGCGTAATCACTTTGTCAATAGCTTTAATTAATGTATTTGTTTCTCCGGAAACAAAATGATTTCCATAAAGATGTAAAGAAATAATAGTATTATTTCTACAAAGATTTTTAAATAATAAATTATCATTATAAGTATTTCCGAGGATTTCTAAATATTTCAGTTTCTTATTTGTTCGTAGAAACATTGTAATTAAAGAATATTTAATGGAAATCACAAGTTTATCATTATTACATTCCCAACTATCGTGAGATGTTTTATAACCATTATAGTTAAGCCAATTAATAACTCCATCATTTAGTTGACTGTAAACAGAAGTAGTATAACTTGTATATTCAAACAAAGGTTTTGGATAATTTTGAAAGTCAATTTTAAAAGGGATTAATAGTTCTTGCTCTTCTACATTTAACGCCAAGAGACATGTATTTATAAATTTTCTATTTCTTAATTTGTCTCTTGTTTCACTCCATAATATTGGAATAATAATCCTACACCATTGACGATTTACAAGAAGGCATGAATATAGGCTTATAGAATCATCCTGGATATTATTAAATATTTTGAAAAAACATTCGTTCGGTAATATTATCATTTTTTATCAGAAAAAAGGATAGTTGTACACGTATGTACGTATGTAATACGTACATTATATATGTACTGTAGTATGAACTGTTGTGAAACTTTGTTAAAAACGTACGTAACTAAATTAAGATTAAGTAAAGTATTGTACTACAACATCTATTAACCTGTATACGTATCGGTAAAGGAAATTTTTTATCTTCGCAAGAAATAAAATAATTTTAAATAAAGTCATTTTAAAATGTGTTAAATATTGTGCTGTGTTTTAGAATCATAGTGGTTTGTACTTAAGTTTATAATGCTAATTACGAATTCTATTTATTATCAATGAACGAAGTAACCTTTTGTAAAGCAAATTTTGATTGCCGAATCGATTAATAACGAAGCCTACAGCGATAATGAATATATGACGATTAATGTCGATTAATGAAGCATAAGAATTTCATCTTTTTTTTTAAAAAAAAATTATTCTATTTACATAAATCTTTACTTTTTTGCTCATGAATACATTGTATGAATACTAAAAATATATACACTCAGACCTCCCTAAGTGCACCCCCTCGGGACCATAGGAAAAAATTGAAAAGTGTGCACTTAGAGAGGGTGAGCATTTATAGAGAGCAAAATATACAGAGAACTTATAAGCTGGAACCGGACTATACCGTGCATTTAGAGAGAATTTACATAATCCGTGCACTTAGGGAAGTACACTTATAGAGGTCTGACTGTACTATTCAAAGAAAAATTGAAAAATTTAATAAGCTTATGTTTCAAAAGGGAAAAAAATTATCCGAAGAGAAAATGTGTATTTGAGATAGTGAATTTGTAAAATACTGCGTACTAATATTATTATGGTGAAATGAACAAAATAATTTGGTTAATGCTGTAAATTTTGACTATTTTATTTAAATTTTAAAAATTTTCGATTGCATTTTTTAGTCATTATAGGTATAATAATCTGATTAGAGTTTAGGGTTAGGGTTTATTAATTAAAGTGTATAGGTAGGCTTATGGGTCTAAATAGAGACCCCTAAACTTCAGCATCAGCTTCCA